ACCAATAACTCCAATCCCCACCCACCCACACTCCCACCACTCCAATCACTACCAATAACTCCAATCCCCACTCACCCACACTCCAATCCCCACCCTCCCCCCACTCCAATCCCTACCAATAACTCCAATCCCCACCCTCCCACACTCCAATCCCTTCCCCTAACCTCAATCCCCATCCATAACCCAATCCTCACCCACACCTATATCTCCTCACCCACACCCCCAATCCCCACATACACTCCCAATCCCGATCCATACCCCTAATCCCCACCTACAGCTGCTGTTGAGTGGCTGGTCACTGTGAGGATTGAGTTTAGATTTTTTTCTGGGATCAGTGTGTCACATGCTTCACTCTCCAATCTTCTGCCCCCATCTCCTTCTGCTCCCACCCCTCCCCCACAATTTCCCACTGAAAGGTGAACCCCAGCCCTACTCCCAACTCAACATCAGCACCATCCACTGCCAGGAACAACACCATTCCATCCAGTATCCAATCAGATCATCCCTGGCCTCTTTCCCATCTTCAGTTAGCTGCTCTTTCTCTGTAACGCTTCATTGCAGCACACTGTCCACTACTCTCCAGGGAGGTCCGGTCTGCTCCTCACACATTCCTTCCTACCTTTCCCCTCCAGGTGTGTGCATGTGGGAAATTCTCAGCTTTGGGAAGCAGCCTTTCTTCTGGCTGGAGAATCGGGATGTGATTGGAATCTTAGAGAGAGGAGACCGGCTTCCCAAACCAGAGATGTGTCCACCAACACTCTACACTCTGATGACCCGCTGCTGGACGTACGAACCACGCGAAAGGCCAAGGTTCTCAGAAATAGTCTGTCAGTTAAGGTAAGAATCTTTTCCTGAGAACAGCCCTAGGCTGGAGTTCAAAACCAACAAAGTAACAACCAAACTCACCATCCAGCTACTACAGGGTTACTGAGTGACAGTGTGAGGGAGCTGGATTAACATCAGTAGGGATACAGCCAGTAACACAGGGCGCAGGGGGGTTGGGGGGGTGCCGGAGGGGAGAGGGGTTACTGAGGGATAGTGTGAGGGAGAGGGATTAACATCAGTAGGGATACAGTCAGTAACACAAGGCGCTGGGGTGGGGAGAGGGGTTACTGAGGGACAGTGTGAGGGAGAGGGATTAACATCAGTAGGGATACAGTCAGTAACACAGGGTGCTGTGGGGGGAGAGGGGTTACTGAGGGACAGTGTGAGGGAGAGGGATTAACATCAGTAGGGATACAGTCAGTAACACAGGGTGCTGTGGGGGGAAGAGGGGTTACTGAGGGACAGTGTGAGGGAGAGGGATTAACATCCGTAGGGATACAGTCAGTAACACAGGGCCCTGGGGAGAGTCATTGTAGTCAATGTTGCTGCTTGTTGTTATCCGTGAGATTGGGGATAGTGCAGGTACAAGATGCTTATCTGGAATTTGAGCCATGATCCAGTCCAATGGCCCAGCACGCTGTTGGGGCTGAATGGCCAGCTATTGCTATGATATCCTCGGTTGCTGTGCCCATGGGCAGTGTGTCTGTAAGCACAGTGTTGACAGTTGCTCCTGTTCCTCCTCACACTCAGTACACCTCCTTCCTGTTACAGTGACATTCACCAACTGGAAAAGGAACAGCAGAGGGAGAGGAAATATTGGACCCAGCGCCGTGCCACTGTCAGGATGCCTGATGGCCACAACACAGTGAACGAGGCTCCACCAAAGGTAACAGATCGAGCCCTTTACACAGGGCAGAGCGCTGAAAGGCGAGTTAATCATAAATGACCTGAAGATTACAGTCAGTTGACAATGAGTTCCTGCATGTTACTCTTAAACCTGCAGCAACCCCTTGCACAGTTTCCTTGGTTTCCAGCAGTATGCTTTCCCATCTCGGCTCAGCTTCCAAAATCAACAAAACTAAACCGATGTGGCATTTACAACACAATACCAAATATTAAAAGGTAACCACAAGCTAATAAACTACATCCTTGTCTTTAATTCACCCACACTGTGTACAAATAGTGAGCTCTCCTTTGGTCCGATATCGACCTCTCTGAGTCTCCCAATGGGCACGAGCTCAATTTGGATTGTAAATCCGAAAGGGCAAAGCAGAAATCCTAATCTCATTTTCTCCTGGTTGGAGTTGAATTAATGGCCGTTGTTATGTGTAGCCAGCAGGCTTCAGTCCTCACAGGGAACCACCTCCCGCTCTCGCCCGATTCCCCACAGAGCCCTGTATCCCGCTCTCACGCACGATCCCCACGGAGCCCTGTCTCCCGCTCTCTCAACTCTTCGTACTGAACCTGAAGCTACCTGACAGTGTGAGTTTAATGTCCAATATACTTCTGTTGAGATGAAGACTTATTTTTCAAGGCTGACTGTGTTGAGCTAAGATCTGAAGTTGAATCCCTGATCTAAATGATCATTTTAGTCTGAGTGAGAAGATTGTTCTGTAGTTGATGGGACAGTCTCTGAGCTCTCAGTCTGAATATCTGATGTTAATCCAGCCTCATTACTCTCTGTTCCAGCCGGCCAGAGCAAGAGGAGTTGCCAGGAAGTCACCTCCTTTTCCCTTTCCGAATCCAGGTCTCCATGTACAAGTATGTACCAATTTGTCACAGTTAGTGTGAAACACAACATGGTAGAGCACCAGCTATAGCTCAGTGAGATCATTACTTTCTGTATTTCAGGGAGGTAAGGCTGGAGAGAGTGTATTTTATATTGGTCCTGCCCATAATAATAAACAGCAGACAGCCACTTGGTTGCATATTAGCACGCCTTGAGACGATGGTCCCATACCTATAACCCATGGTGTGTGAGTGAATGTTCTTTCAATTTGTTCACAGGATGTGAGCATTGCTGGCCAGACCTCTCATCCCTAATTACCCTAAGGACAGTTAAGAGTCACCCACATTGCTGTGGGTCTGAAGTCATGTGTAAAAGTGTGTTAGAATGTGAGTGAATGTGTGTATGAATGGGTTTGTGAGTATTTGTGAGTGAAATGACCCAAATCCAGATGCAGCAGAAACCAATCCTATAATTAACCAGAACGAAATGGCAGATTCATGTGAATAAAGCAGAATTTGGAGCACTCTGGGTGAGTGCATGCATCACTCACAGCAAGAGAATGGATGGCAGTGGTAGAAGGGGAAGGGCCTGATCTAAATGTGATTACAGGCTGCAGGCTAGAAACTGACCATGAAAGGATATTTGATATTTAGGTGGGGTGGGCAAAAAGGAAATGGGAAGTAGCCCTGATGATAAAGGATGAGATCGATATAATAATGAGAGCATCTCCAATGGGAAAAACAGGATGTCAAAGGGCAGTATTAATGTTGGTTTATATATCACCAAACATAGTAATAATGTACGATATAGTATAACTCAGTTTCGAAATATGTGTACCAATGGCAATGGAGTTATCGTGGGTGACTTCATTCTACATCTGATGAGTATCACTGTTGTAGAGGAAAAATTCCTGACTATGTTGATCATTTTCTGATCCAGTGTGTTGAGGAACTAAAGTGCTGGGTATTTCAAATCTGGTTTTGTGCAATGATTTTTGCCCTAATTAATAATCTCGCTGTAAAGGAATCTTTCAGGAATAGTTACCAGAGGATGATAGAATTTTCCATTAAGTTTGTAAAAAGTGTGATTCAATCTGAAGTTAGGGTCTTAAATCTAAACCAAGGTAATTATGAAAATATGAGGGGAAGTTTGTTGTGGTGAATTGGAAATGTACGGTGGTTGCACAATGGTTAGTATTTAAATAATTACTATTTGATTTTCAAAAGAAAAAGCCCATACATTCCTTACAGACAAAGATGTCCAACATGAAAAGTGAAAAAGCCATTTCGAACAAGGAAAATTAAAGGTAGCATGAAGTCAAAGAAGGAGGCTTATAAAGTTACCAAATAAAAGTTGTAAACTTGAGGACTGGGAGAGCTTTAAGTCTCAGAAGAGGACCAAGAAATTGCTAAAGAAAGCAAGTACAGAATATGAATATAAAATAGCAAGAAATGTAAAAACACAAGGGAATGTCAGGCACTGGTTCAAATATTAAAGGAAGGGTTGTCTAGAGTAAGAAGCTCAATTTTGTGGAACCATTAGGGAAAGATTTGTTTTTTTTTGTTAATCACTCATGGGACATGGGCATTTCTGGTTGTCCCTAGTTACCCCTGAGAAGGTGGTGGTGAGCTGTAGCCCACCTGCGGTAGGTACACCCAGAATGCCCTGAGGGAGAGAATTCTAGGATTTGACCCAGCGACAGTGAAAGAACTTAAACACGTGAATGTGTAGTTGATAATATAATTACAGTCCTGACCTTGATCAGCATTTACAAGAAGCAGAGTTATGCCAGTTCTTAAACCACAAGGGGAGAAGTTGTTGAGGAAAGCAAGAAAGAGACTAACTCTAATTAAAGAAGTGGCATTCAAAGAAGACAATGTTTGTGATTTGCTGATCACTGCGTGATTGGAGCAGCCACCTCCTCTTTTGATGTTAGTTTCATTGGAGATCACCCTCTGCCCAGTGCTTCGAGTTAATCCAGGAGCAGCCTGCACTGTTGCTCATGTTTTAATGTGTGCTTGTCTAGTCTTTGCTTTCAGATGCTCTACACAATGATGCTGCAGCTACATGACACCCCATTGATGCTGTGAGTTCTGATACCTCCTGCTGTCAGAAACTGATCACTGTTGGCTTACCCTGTGCCATGTGCTTTGTCTGTCCAGTGTCTTGCTGACCGCTGTGTTTTCTGTATGTCTGTCTGACACGCCCAGGTGCCCGAGTCTCTGTGTGCCAGTTCACCACACATCCCCTGCTCTCCAAGTGAACAAACCCCTGGTGACTCCACCAATACCTCCTTTCAGAAGCAGTTCCGACGCCTCAGTGTACGGGTAAGACCAGCCTGTGTGTGTGAAATGACACTTTGTTCATTTTTCTTTGTCAAAAACCTGGGTCTTGTTCAGATTCAGGAAGAGAGTATCAATGTCCCTGCATGAACCAACTTGCAATTATAACTTGGCCACATCCTGTAGCTTCCCAAAGCCAATGAAATGCAGTCGATTTAAATGCAATGTAGGAAATGCAGTGGCTACCGTCTGTACAGCAAGTTCCTGCAAACACTAACATGATCACAGTGAGAGAGTCTGTGCTGGTGGGATTCAGTAAGGGATAAGTGTTGGTCCCTACGCTGAGGAGTGTCTCCCTGCTCATCCTTAAATATTGCCATGGGATCTTTTCACTTGTCCTGAGACAGAAGACTACCTCGATTTCATGTCTCATCTGAGATAGATGTACCTCTGATCGTGTAGCACTCCTTCAGTACTGAGTATCAGCCTGGAGTCTGTGCGGGACCTGACCCCAGAGCGTTCTGAGCCAGAAACAAGTGTTCCCCGCTGAGAGAAAACTGCAGCCTGTGGTGGTTTTGATTAGGACGTAAGGTATAGGAGCAGGAGGAGGCCATTCAGCCCCTTGAACCTGCTCCATCATTCAGTCAGATCATTGTTGATTTGATTGTGATCTGAGAGCATTTTGATGCTTAAAGTGATTAGTGTTTATATGTTTCAATCTGATTCCTAATGTTAATGTTTAGCCCTTTCCTCTTTCTGATGTTCATAAATGTCCTTCTCAGCATATCAAATAAACACTGTGTGTGGCTATCTGCAGACAGGAGAGGTGATGGGGTCATGGATTAGTAACCCAGAGGCCTCTGGCTATGCTCTGGGCACGTGGATATAATGTAAATGAACCTGGAATGGAAAAAGGGGGATAAAAACGATGATTATGTTAGTTACGCATTAGAGACATCTCAAGATCATGTCAAATTCACCTCAAGATGATCTGCAGGATTTACAACAATGTCAGAGCCAATGGGAGATGGGATTTGTGCCAAAATCTGCTACGTCACTTGCATCAATACACAGTTGTCCCTGCGGAATCACCTTAATCCCAATCTTCATTGAAGATTCTACATTTAGCAGAAACCATCCTAAACTGGCTCCCTGGATTTCTTAAGAGGAATCTTTGATATTGTAACATAAATATCTGACTTACAGCTTTCCAAACATGACACATGTCAACATAATAAAATATTCATGTTAATTAGATATTAATTTAATAATGTAGCAGACAATTGTGTGCCCAGCCCTGGAGGTCTTTTTTATTCGTTCACTGGATGAGGGGCGTCGCTGGCTTGGCAGCATTTATTGCCCATTCCTAATTGCCCAGAGGGCAGTTAAGAGTCAACCACGTCGCTGTGGGTCTAGAATCATATGTAGGCCAGACCAGGTAAGCATGGCAGTTTCCTTCCCTAAAGGACAGTAGTGAACCAGATGGGTTTTTCCCGACAATCGGCAATGGATTCACAGTCATCATTAGACTCTTAATTCCAGATATTTTATTGAATTCAAATTCCACCATCTGCCGTGCTGGGATTTGAACCTGGATCCCCAGAATATTATCTACGTCTCTGGATTAACAGTCCAGTGATAGCCTAGTGGGCACCACATCATTGAATATATTTAAGAAAGGAAAATATTTCTGGACACTAAAGGCTAAAGCCATTAAAGGTCTTGGAGCAGTTGTGGGGGTACGACTTTAAAGTGGACCATCAATTTTGATGCTATTGGATGGCAGTGAGGGTTTGTGAACCCAGCAGGGGGTAATTGGAAGGGGAGAACAGAGGGTACTTTACTCTCTTAGTCTCTGCGTTGAGGGACTGAGGCCATTATCATGATGTTAGCACCATCAATACAGAGCCTGCAGCGTGTAATTTCGTTTGTTGCAGGTCTCTGATTCACAATACACCGTACTGTACCTGTATCCATTCTGTACCTGTTTCCATATTGGTCTCTGATTCGCAATGTACCGTACTATACCTGTATCCATTCTGTACCTGTATCCATTCTGTACCTGTATCCAAACTGGTCTCTGATTCACAGTGCACCGTTCTGTACCTGTATCTATTCTGTACCTGTATCCATACTGGTCTCTGATTCGCAGTGCACTGTTCTGTACCTGTATCCATACTGTACCTGTATCCATACTGGTCTCTGATTCACAATGTAATGTACTGTACTGTACCTGTATTCATTCTGCTGTCAGCTTCTGATTCAGTCTCCTTCCTACTCACGTGGACAGCGTGTTACTCTCTGAGGGGACTGAGACACGTCCGCCTCAGTTGAAAATATTTGGCCATCAGCTGTTTGTTGCACGAACCTAAGCAGTTTCCTGGGTTTTACAGGAAGCTGATCTTATTGGTGAGATCAACATCAAAGAGGAGGCACAGAAACTGCGGGAGATTGAACAAGCCAAACTTCAGGAAAGGATCAGGCAGCAACAACGAGAGATGTTAGAGGATAAAAAATGGTTGGAGAAAGAAGAGAAACTTCTGGTAAGTCACATTCTTTTGAATGTCACCACAAGGGGATATCACTACATTGAAAGCTATTACCTTATGAGGAGGTGGTGAATTGAGTATTTCTGCCAAAATGTTGCCAGGATGGCACTGTGGCTCAGTGGTTAGCACTGCCTCCTCACAGCACCAGGGACCTGGGTTCGATTCCACCCTCGGGTGACTGTCTGTGTGGAGTTTTCACATTCTCCCCGTGTCTGTGTGGGTTTCCTCCAGGTGCTCTGGTTTTCTTCCCACAGTCCAAAGACATGCAGGTTAGGTGGATTAGCCATGCTAAATTGCTCGTAGTGTCCAGGGCTGTGTAAATTGTGGATTAGCCATGGGAAAAGCAGGCCTATGGGTCTGGGTTGGATGCCCTTCGGAGGGTTGGTATGGACTCAATGGGCAGAATGGTCTTCCCCCACATTGTAGGGATTCCATGAGAATGTGCTGGTAAGATGGGTTATTTTTGTTGTAGTTCTGGGTGAGCTGAGTGTGCTGTTTGGCTGGTTTGAAATGCAGAATGATGCCAACAGCATGTGTTCAATCCCTAAACTGGCTCAGATTGTTGTGAAGGACTCTCCTTCTCCACCTCTCCCCTTTGTCTGAGGGTGTGGTGACCCTCAGGTTAAACCATCACCAGTCATCACTCTCTCTCTCTCTCTCTCTCTCTCTCTCCCTGTAATGAGAGAGGAGCCCTATGGTCCTCTGGGACTACGACAACTTTACTTTTTACCTTTTGTGTCTTATGTTTTTGTGAATATGTTTATGATGGATTCAGATAATTCATGGATACTTTAATTCTTTCCTTTCTCCCCAAGGCTCCAAATGATAACAAGTCACAAAATGTAAGTTGTAATATTATGAATAGCTTATTTGCAAAATCTATGCCCCCATTTATGTTTCAGTACAGTTAGAGGTGGTAAGTCTGAATGATAACTTTAGCTGGACAGTTCATGTTTCTGTGTAGATCACTAGTGCAAGTAAACCCTCAAACTACTGACCAGCCATTCAAACTCCTCTCTTTTAACTTAATGTGATTAAAAATAAAGATCACAATTACCTTTTGTAAACCCCCACGGCACAGGAGTAACATCATCAGACAGTTTGGTTTTTAATAGATTCAATACTTAACAGTGTCTGAGTTGGGAATAACACTGACCATCTGGGAACTAGTGCCAAATTTGGGAGAGATGTCTCACAGACTATCAAGCAACAAAATAAAAACTGAAAGAATCGTGGATGGTGTAAATCAAAAACAAAAACAGAAATTGCTGGATGGGCTTAGCAGGTCTGGTGGAATCTATGGAGAGAAGTCAGAGTTAACGTTTTGGGTCAAGTGACCCTTTCTCGAAACGATATCAAGCACCAGCTTGACATAGTCATATTCACAGAATCATACCTTACAGACAATGTCACAGACACCATCATCACCATCCCTGGGTATGTCCTGTCCCACGGGCAGGACAGACCCAGCAGAGGTGGTGGCACAGTGGGAGACTGTCAGGAGGGAGTTGTTCTGGGAGTCCTCAGCATTGATGCCAGACCCCATGGAGTTTCATGACTTCAGGTTAAACATGGGGCAAGGAAACCTCCTGCTAATTACCACGTACCGTCCTCCCTCAGCTGATGAGTCAGTACCCCTCAATGTTGAACAACACTCAGAGGAAGCACTGAGGATGGCAAAGGTACAAAATGTACTCTGAGTGGGGGATTTTAATTTCCACCACCAAGACTGGCTCGGCAGCAGTATTACTGATCGAGCTGGTTGGGTCCTAGAGGACATAGCTGCTAGACTGGGTCTGCGGCAGGTGGTGAGGGAACCAACAAGATGGAAAAACATACTTGACCTCATCCTTACCAATCTGCCAGCTGCAGTTACATCTGTCCATGACAGTATTGGTAAGATTGACCATCGCACAGTCCTTGTGGAGACAAAGCCCCACCTTCACATTGAGAATGCCCTTCATCGTGTTGTGTGGCACTATCACCGTACTAAATGGGACAGGCTTCGCACAGATCTAGCAACTCAAGACTGGGCATCCATGAGGCTCTGTGGGCCATCAACAGCAGCAGAATTGTACTCCAGCACAATCTGTAACCTCATGGCCCGGCATATCCCCCACTCAACCATTACCATCAAGCCAGGAGATCAACCCTGGTTCAATGGAGAGTGCAGGAGGGCATGCCAGGAGCAGTACCAGGCATACCTGAAGATGAGGTATCAACCTGGTGAAGCCAGCAAACAGGACTACCTGCACGCCAGACAGCGAAAGCAGCAAGTGATAGACAGAGCTAAGTGATCCCACAACCAATGGATCAGATCTAAGCTCTGCAGTTCTGCCACATCCAGTCGTGAATGGTGGTGGACAATTAAACAACTCACTGGAGGAGGAGGCTCCACAGATATCCCCATCCTCGATGATGGAAGGGCCCAGCACATCAGTGCAAAAGATAAGGCTGAAGCATTTGCAGCAATCTTCAGCCAGAAGTGCCAAGTGGATAATCCATCTCGGCGGCCTCCAGTGGTCCCGAGCATTACAGATACCAGTCTTCAGCCAATTCGATTCACTCTACATGATAGCAAGAAATGGTTGGAGACACTGGACACTGCAAAGGCTACGGGCCCTGACAACATTCCGGCAATAGTACTGAAGACTTGTGCTCCAGAACTTGCTGCTCCCCTAGCCAAGCTGTTCCAGTACAGTTACAACACTGGTATCTACCCAACAATGTGGAAAATTGCCCAGGTATGTCCTGTACACAAAAAGCAGGGCAAATCCAACCCGGCCAATTATCACCCCATCAGTCTCCTCTCGATCATCAGTAAAGTGATGGAAGGTGTCAGTAACAGTGCTATCAAGCAGCACCTGCTCAGCAATAACCTGCTCAGTGACACCCAGTTTGGGTTCTGCCAGTGCCACTCAGCTCCTGATCTCATTACAGCCTTGGTTCAAACATGGACAAAAGAGCTGAATTCCAGAGGTGAGGTGAGAGAGACAGCCCTTGACATCAAGGCTGCATTCGACCAAGTGTGGCATCAAGGAGCCTTAGCCAAAATGTAATCAATGGGTATCAGGGGGCAAACTCTCCAGTGGTTGGAGTCATACCTGACACATAGGAAGATGGTCGTGGTTGTTGGAGGTCAGTCATCTCAGCTCCAGGACATCTCTGAAGGAGTTCCTCAGGGTAGTGTCCTTGGCCCAACCACCTTCAGCTGCTTCATCAATGACCTTCCCTCGATCATAAGGTCAGAAGTGGGGATGTTCGCCGATGATTGCACAATGTTCAGCACCATTCGTGACTCCTCAGATACTGAAGCAGTCTGTGTTCAAATGCATCAAGCTCTGGACAATATCCAGGCTTGGGCTGACAAGTGGCAAGTGACATTCGCACCACACAAATGCCAGGCTATGACCATCACCAATAAGAGACAATCTAATCACCGCCTCTTGACATTCAATGGTGTTACCATCACTGAATCCCCCACTATCAACATCCTGGGGGTTATCATTGATCAGAAATGCATCTGGACTCACCACATAAACACAGTGGCTACAAGAGCAGGTCTGAAGCTAGAAATACTGCAGTGAGTAACTCATCTCCTGACGCCCCCCAAGCCTGTCCATCAGCTATGAGGCATAAGTCAGGAGTGTGATGGAATACTCCCCACTTGCCTGGATGGGTGCAGCCCCAACAACACTCAGAGAGCTTGACACCATCCAGAACAAAGCAACTCACAACCGGTTCTATGTTATGTTCTATGCTTCTATCTGGAAGGAAACTGGCAGCAGATACATGGGAACACCGCCCCCTGCAAGTTCCCCTCCAAACTACTCACCATCCTGACTTGGAAATATATTGCAGTTCCTTCACTGTCGCTGGGTCAAAATCCTGGAATTCCCTCCCTAAGGGCATTGGGGGTCAACTTACCGCACATGGACTGCAGCGGTTCAAGAAGGCAGCTCACCCCCACCTTCTCATGGGGCAACTAGGGACGGGCAATAAATGCTGGACCCAGCCAACAACTTCCCATGAATGAATTTTAAAAAGTTGCAATCAACTCAAAACATTAACTGTGTTTCACTGTCACTCCGATGCTGCGGAGTTTCTCTGCTTTTGTTTCAGAGTTCCACCATTCACAGGCTTTTATTTTCGTTACTGCGATAAATTTGAAACAACAGTACTTTGATTGGTCCCATTTTTACAGGCACTTGACAACCAATCAAATGCACTCACATTGGTCAAACATAGTGCTAATTGGCTAAAGATCAGCTTTCCAGGAGATTTAACAGCAGATCTTCTCAGTTGTATTAGGTTGATCTCCAATGGGATTTGTTGATGAGGTGGTTTGTTGGTGGGTCATGAACGTGGGGTTAGTGTCACAGGATCTTGTGTCAGTGCCCTGGGGGTGAGGATTCATTCGGTGGAACACACTCCGAATGCTATGAGGGAATGCGATTTTCAGACTCAACAATTAAGCCAGAAAGAAATAAATGGAGGAAACGTCATCTTGTTTCTCAACTCTTTTATTTTTCAGGACAGTGACCAGGAGTCTTGCTACAGTAAGTACCAGCTTTACAACAGAGTTGTTGGATTTGGGAGGGATTCAGCAGGAATATTGCATTGAATTTCCATTGGATGAGGCTGAAAAGGGGAAGGCGATGGCCTGGTGGTATTATCGCTGGAGTGTTAATCCAGAGACCTAGATGATAATGTTCTGTGGACCTGAGTTCATATTCTGCCAAGTCAGATGGTGGAATTTAAATTCAATTAAAAAAAAAACTGAATTAAGTGTCTAATGATGACCATGAATACATTGCTGATTGCCAGAAAAACCTATCTGGTTCACTAATGTCCTTTAGGGAAGGAAACTGCCATCCTCACCTGGTCTGTCCTACATGTGATTCCAGACCCGACATCAATGTGTTTGGCTCTCAGTTGCCCTCTGGGCAATTAGGGATGGACAATAAATGCTGCCTAGCCAGTGATGCCCTCATCCCTTGAATGAATAAAGGAAAGGAATTCTTTCCATAAACCAAGCCTGAGTGTTGCCCAGGTTTTACTGAATTTGAACAAGGATCAATTCAGAATCTGAGTAGTCTGCAAATGCCCAGAAATGCAATGTGTATGTTGAGACTGCAATTATAGACAGGTACTGAATAACCACGTGCTCTGTACAACTCCGTCAGTGATGACACTTTCACAAGGGCTGTTAAATCCAGTGTTTATACTGAATGTAGTTTTTAAAGAGCCTTACTGTTTACAGTGGGTCACACAGCAGCACAAAATTCTTCAAACTGCTGGACCTCTGTCTGAATCCTGCTCCAGTCACTGGACAGTGACTCATGGAGAGCATTCTGGTGAAATAAGTGAGATTGGTAAATGAAGTGCTGGCCTATTCGATAAAGCATGGAACCGAGAACGTGAACCCACTGCTCCCAGCCTCTATGAGGACGGCCAGCAATCAGGAAGTTAATAGCAGTGATGGCCACAGACCCATCTAACAGCTCTAAGTGCCCCTGCAGCCCAGGGACTGCCTTAGGTGGTTCAAGAAGGCAGCTCACCACCACCTTTTTAAGGGCAACTAGGCACGGGCAATAATTTGTGGCCCAGCCAATGACATCCACATCCCACAAGTGAATAAAAACAGACAGAAGGTTAGAGTGTGGAATGTTTTTCTGATTCCAAGGTACTGTCTAAATGCTAGTTATTATGCAGCCATTCTAATCACAGTGTTCTTTCTGTCCCTTATTTGGAGCTGAGTTCACAGTGCCACCTGAGAAACCTCCAAGGAAAAACCTGCCGGTGAGTCCCTGACTGAATGTCCTGAGGCTCTGTGGAATAATCTGGGAATGTTGCATATGCTTGACATGAGGGGGACACTGCTACGATTGGAGAGCTGAGATCAGCAACGAGATACACTGTGCATTCTGCAACACTCCTCACCACCAGGCAAAGCACACTGGGTCTTCAATAAACCTGCCAGTGTCTGGGGCTGAACTGGCACTGATGGTCCAGAACAGCGTACCCAAATATACAACACTAAGGGAGTTCCTGTGGGTTCTCTGAGCAGATATAAATAATGCCGCTCCAATTTTGCAGTCTTCTATACATCCCCTTGTCCAGCTTGGCTTTGAAATTATTTGAGATTGTCCTCCATCAATTGATATCAATCCTGAAAGTCTTTCCCAATTTGATGGGAGTTCAGCTGCATTGATACCAACTCACTCCTTAAACCATAGAAACCAGGAGCGAGATAAGGCAATCCAGCCCTTCGAACCTGTGCTACCATTCAATACATTCACTATCTACCTTAATTAGTTTGTGCAGTTTTGGATTCCTTGTCACTTTGGTTAGACCCCCAGCATGCGACTCTTATACCTATCATGTTATTCCAGCCATTCGGCTTGTCTCCAGCACCACATTATTTTTAATTTTTTGTAATTATCTCTCTGCCTCAATTAATCAGATTATAGGTCATCCCTTCACTTGCTCTTCAGCCTGTTGACACTCCGTTTATACCATCTGTACTATCTTTTGACACTCTTAATTACCCAGAATTATCTTGCAATGATCTCTCTGTCTATAAATTCTGTGCCTGTGTGCTTCCCTTCACTTCTTCTGACGAAGGAGCAGTGTGACAAAAGCTTGTGATTTCAACAAAACCTGTTGTTGTGTGACTTCCAACTTAGTACACCACTTAATACGGTCATGGCTGATCCTCTATCTCAATGTCACATTCCCACTTTCTCCCCCACACACCTTGATGCTTTTAAAATCTAAAAATTTATTTCTCTCCTGCGTGAATATATTCAATGACTTGGCCTCCACAAGCTTCTGTTGTAGTAGAGAAATCTGCAGGTTCACTACCTTCTGAGTGAAGAAGTGTTTCCTCATTTCCGTTCTGAATGGTCTAGCCTGTATCCCAGACTGTGACCCTTGGTTCTAGCCTCCCCAACCAGGAAAAACATCATTCCTGCATCTCGTCTGTCCAAACTATTAGAATTTTGTAGCTTTTAATCTGATCCCCTCGCATCCTTCTAAACTCCTGTGAATACAGACCCAGTCAAACCAAATTCCTTCCCATAGGACAGTCCTGCCATTCCTGGCTGTGCTGGTAGGGAAAATGATGGAAGTTATTCTGTAAGATAGGATTTACATGCATTTGGAGAGGCAAGGACTGATTAGGGATAGTCAGCATGGTTTTGTGCATGGGAAATCATGTTTGACAAACTTGATTGAGCTTTTTGAGGAAGTAACCAAAAAGGTTGATGAAGGTAGAGTGGTAGATGTTGTGTATATGGACTTTAGTAAAGCCTCTGACAAGGTTCCGCATAGTAAACTAATTAGTAAAGTTTGATCACATGGGATTCAGGGTGAGCTTCCCAATTGGATATAAAACTGGCTTAACGGGAGACAGAGGGTGATGGTGGAGGGTTGTTTTTCATACTGGAGGCCTGTGACCAGCGGTGTTCCACAGGGATTGGTGCTGGGTCTGCTTTTGTTTATCATTTATATAAACAATTTGGATGAGAATATTGGAGGGTGTGGTTATTAAGTTTGCAGGTGACACCAAAATTAGCGGTATAGTGGACAACGTAGACGGTTATCCAAGATTACAAAGGGATCTTGATCAATTGGGCCAATGGGCTGAGGAATGGCAGATGGAGTTTAATTTGGATAAATGCAAGGTATTGTATTTTGGTAAAACAAACAAGGGCAGGATTTATACAATTAATGGTAAGGCCCTGAATAGTGTTGTAGAATAGAGAGACCTAGGGGTTCAGGTACATAATTCTTTGAAATTAGACGGGGTAGTTATAAAGACGTTTGCCTTCATTGCCCAGACCTTCGAGTATAGGATTTGGGACATTATGTTGAGATTGTACAGGACATTGGTGAGGCCTCTTCTGGAGCACTGTGTGCAGTTCTGTTCGCCTTTTTATTGGAAGGATATTATTAAATTGGAGAGGATTCAGAAAAGATTTACCAGGATGTTGCTGGGACTGGAGGTATTGGGTTATAAAAATGGGCTGAATAGGCTGGGACTTTTTTTCACTGCAGCATAGCAGGTAGAGGTTATTAAATCATGTGGGATATAGGTGAATAGCAGGTGTCTTTTCCCTTGCTTTGGGTATTTCCAGACTAGGGGCATATTTCTAAGGTGAGAGGAGAAAGGTTTAAAAAGGACTTGAAGGGCAGCTTTTTTACACAGAGAATGGTTCGTGTGTGGAATGAACTGCCAGAGGAAGTGGTGGAGGCTGGTACACTACAGCATTTAAAAGACATTTTGATAGGTACTTGGTTAGAAAAGGTTTGGAAGGATATGGGGCCAAGTGCACACACATGGGACTAGTTTAGTTTGGGAACATAGTCAGTCTGGACTGGTTGGACCAGAATCTGTTTCCGTGCTGTATGACTCTACCTCTGCAATACTCCTTCTATGGCAAAGGATCTTTTCTAGATACAGCAGGGAATTGGTACTGTAGCAGCAGATCAGCCACAAGCTCATTGAATGGTGGAGCAGGCCCAAGGCACTGTATGGTCTCCTGCTGCTCCTATTCCTAATGTTCCTGCAAGCTTGCTGAAAGATACCTAAACTCACCATCAATCCCCCTCTTCAGAGGATGCAGTTCCTAGATTATGAATGAAACCTTTCTGTGTAAGCTTCAGCCTCCTGATGGTTCTCCTTTTCCACATGTTCAGCCGATACAAGCAGCTCCCACAGCAAACCTGGATCGCTCCGATGATACAATCTATCCTCTGGTCATGGAACTGGTTAAGTCTGTGCTGCATCTGAAGAACCAGGTCTACCAGCTCCCGTGTGAAGAGTACATCAATCTGGTGAAGGTAAGCTGGTTAACCCAGGAGAGGGTAGGATGTTTCTCAGTGACACCTTTCCCCATCTCAAAGTTGTGATAAAAACAAAGGAAAAGCACAGCAAGATCCCATAATAGTACCAGGGTACCTTTTTCATCCAATCAAGCAGGCAGATGGGTGTTTAATCTGATCTTATCCTGAAAGGCTCTGATAGTGTAGCTCTGAAGTTTTGGCCTGGAGTTTGTGTTGGGTCTGAACCTGTCAACTTTCCCATTTCAATGACCAGCATGCAGCCTGCTGAATGATACACAATCAATCATTGAGTGAAGAGCTTAGTGTCCATTAACCTGTTGGGTTTTGTCTCACTACAGGGATTATGTTCATAAATATATTGCTTCTTCAGGCTTACAAAATTGGACAGGGAATTTCTGTCCTTCAGTTTTTTTTTGTAAAATTGAGTAGTGCCGTGGATGTAATTCTGGAGTCAGAAGTGGCTCATAATCCAAAGTACATCAGTTCAACTCCCACCAAGGTTAATGAAGAGTCATCCAGACTCAAAACATTGGCTCTCTCTTTCTCTCTCCATAGATGCTGCCTGACCCACTGTGATTTCCAGCTGTTTTTTTGGTTTTCTGTTGTAAAAATTCAATTTGGAAACAAAGTTCCCAACAAAATGAAAATCAGATATCAATAAAACTGACCATGAAACTCTTACCTTGTTGCAAAACTTCACCTGCTTCATGTGATATCACTGCAGTACAGACACAAGACAGGATATAGAACAGAACGTCAAACACCAACTCAAAAAGTAGTTCATTCCAAGGATTACTGAAGAGCAGCACAAATACACAAATGGCCACAAGAGTGTGCTATCACACTTCCCTCTCCTGAATGATTGTTTTATATTCAGTTGATCGTTAGTTCGCTGAGCTGGCGGTTCTGTGGTGTGCAGACGTTTTATTACCTTTCTAAGCGATATCATCAATGCAACCTCTAATCGAAGCGTTGGTGTTCTGTTTCCTTCTGGATTTATGCAATCCTCTGGTGTGATGGTCTTGTCGCTTCCAGTTTTGTTGTTTTAGCAGCACTCTGTATACAGAGATAACAAGGTGTAGAGCTGAATGAACACAGCAGGCCAAGCAGCATCAGAGGAGCAGGAAGGCTGACGTTTCGGGCCTAGACCCTTCTTCAGAAATATACAGGGTCTGTTTCTATATGTTTGTTAATGGAGTCCTATGTTGGGAACCAGGCTTTCAGAAATTTCCTTACAGATCTGGTGTTCGCTTGTCCCAGTATAGTCACTTTGTCCCAGTCAAATTGATGGCCTTCATTGTCTGTGGGTATTGGGATAAGTGAATATTGGTTGTGTCTTTTT